TGTCATTTAGTTTGTTTGTGATTTGTTCCTTCCACTCAAATGGAATTAGTGACTCTTCAAAATTGAAGGTCAGTGGCGTTTCTGGGCTCTGACGTGGTGTGTTGACTGCATGGTGGTTGTGGATGGCACATTCATAGGTTTCAGGATGGTATGTGGACCAAAGAATTCCTCACACATAAACCACCCGGCATGCATGTATCAGGGTACTGTGAATGATGGCACATTCATTATTATTTAGAGGACCAATCACAGTAGTGCAACCAGCTAGAATAGACACTTTTACTGCAGGGGATGATAACCAGTGTTGGTGTTGCAATTCTTTTGGATTTGAAAGTGGTGGAATCACTGCTGGAAACTTGTTCATGTGTTCATGCCAATTAACACAAAATTGAGAATCCAGGTTGGGCATCAGGGACTGAAGGGTCTGAATTAAGAACTTGCTCTCGAGGAACTCTTCTGGAAATGTGACTGCTGTTTCAACATAACTGAGGTAATGAAAGCTTTGCCCTGCAGCACTATCAGGCTGAGAGGAGTTAAGGTAATTTAAATATTCCCTCCATAGCATATGATTGCATAATGGGAACCACGTGACTAGTCATATGGCATGAGACATGAGAATGATGTAAAATTTGAGCTGGACTCAATAGAGAATGTGGGAAAACAAGGGCTGGATTGGATTGGATTCAACCCTTGGTTATATAATGTCCCCTAAAAATGATGGAAACCCAAAGTGTGAGTTTGTTTGTGTGTGTGTGTGTGTGTGTGTGTGTGTGTGTGTGTGTGTGTGTGTGTGTGTGTGTGTGTGTGTGTGTGTGTGTGTGTGTGTGTGTGTGTGTGTGTGTGTGTGTGTGTGTGTGTGTGTGTGTGTGTGTTGTGCGTGTGCATGTGTGTGTGTGTGCGTGTGTGTGTGTAATGTGAGTGAGTGTAAGGCTGTACACATGTCAGTGCTAAGTGCCTTGTCGTGTCAGCCAAAACAAACAGGCCTAATGAGAAGCAGCTCCGAGCAGGGACAGGGCAGAGCAGACACAGTGACCCCGCTGTCTTGTCCCTCGGCATTGCTTAAAGTGGACACTGTGCCCCTGTGTGCACCTAGGGCCAGCACTGCTCCACCGAGGCCTGTTTCACCACTGCTTCTGCTGCCAAGGTGTGAGTGGGACAGAGACAAGGAGGTGTAAGAGGGGGTTTTAATTAGAAGGGCATTTGTAACTATGACATGAGCATAATACCACTTTTATTATTTTTATTTTATTGACAGATATTATTGATCAAAATCTGATCTGACAAAAATTATGTAGTTATAAGATATTATGTTATAAGACAGTGAGTGATGCAGGCAGTGGGGCAGGGGGGACAGATTAACTGAATAGTCTTTAGTGAGTTCCTGCTGATGTGAATAAAGGTCTTTAGTCTGTTGCCCAACAGATGTCATGTCTCCACAGGTCCTTCAAAATTACATCACTTTTTAAAACTACTATTTCTCTACTTTAAAACTAGTAATTATGGAGTTTTGAGAAGAATAACTAATTATGACCTTGTAACACTGAGTGCAGATCCAAAAAGCGCCAAGGGTCTTGCTCAAGGATACAGTTATCAAAATAATACAATAATTAATGCAGCAACCCATGCCAGCTGGAGATTTCTTGTGAATATGGTTCATGAGTCATAGAACTGTGCTGCAGAGCTAAGAGGCAGAAAATCTCCAAACCGCTGTTGGCTTGAGGAGAGGAAGCTCAAGCAGAGTCTAACAGTGTTTGTGTGTGTGTCTGTGTGTGTGTCTGTATGTGTGTGTAGTTGTGTGCGTCTCTCACTCTGACCCTCACTTGTCAGGTCACTTCCTGTGTATCTGCTGTTTTCGGCTGTATGCTGCATGCTGTTTACGTTGAAGGTCTTTTGGGGATCCGGTGTGAAAAAAGCAACACATCAAGTTCACACATGCTTGTCTGATGTGCAGATGGAGTACTATAGTAAGTGTGTATGTGTAACTATTTCATGTAGCGTCACCAACAGTTGTTTATTTGTAGTCCTGGAAAGCTGGTGTGTATATGTATGGTACATATAAATGTGTGACGGATGCACACATGTGTCTTCACACAGCAGTAGGTGAGTGAGAAGAGTACTACTACTCAAAGCCATACTTTAGAGCCATTATTCATTTACTCCACACTAGTTCTAATATAAGCTATGGTTTGTAGCCACAGCTGCCCTGAGGTAGCCAGTCACTCCACACCAGATTCATTGCCAAAGTAGATGAAGTAAATGGAAGGACACAACAACAGTAAGCACTGGTGAAAGGTGGGGTCGCTCTCATTATAACCACTGAGCCATTGCTACCAATAAAACCAGATGTTTCCCTATTTCCTCTTTGGCACTACATTCCACTTTTCCCCTTTATTTCTATACATTTATTATGATGCCTCTGTTTGTATCTTCCCTGTTATGTTGTGCAACGCCTTTCGTTCCTCCATGACCACTAAAAACATCTTATTTACAGGCTTTTTGTAGCTGACACATGCTTCGGCACCCTTGCCCCTGGATGGTTGGCTCATAAGTGCTACCATATTTTAATTTACAAACTTTGACAACAGTTTTTCTTACAGAACATTTTATTTCCTCCATAGGTTAGAATAATACACAAGTGTGTTAGCTGATTGAGTGATGAGCCATGATGATAACCAGGTGGTTTGCTTTATGTTGTTGTGGCTCATAGGCCGGCACTGAAGCGGTGCTGAGCAGGAGTGCTTCTTGGCAGGATATTATTCTGGGGGAGAGCTCTCTGCTGTAGTTGCAGGATAAATCCAGGTAAACCACTGGTATGCTGAGATAAAGCTCAGAGTAGTAGCCTATACTGCCAGAGGGCATGGACACAACTCCAGTTCACAGTAGTCACAGGCAGAAGCATTGCATTCAGGTTGACCATTTCCTCAACACTTCTGAGGATGGAAGTGATAGGGTCACCAATTTTAACCTTTTGAGCCCCAAGGCCTTTTTTTTTCTTTTCCAAATCCTCATAGAAATATTTTAGTCAGCCTGTGAATGGTCTTTATTGGACAATTAAGATGGGGAATTGTAGAAGTGCAGAAGTGTTTTTTTAACATCATTTATTAGAGGGAAAAAAAAAAACTCTCTGGGATTAAAAATCGATTTTACAAAAGTACCTGGCGAAGAGTTAGCAGCACCAAAAAGGTGCACTAGATAATTATCATTATAATTACCAATTGAAAGAGGAAATGAAATGAGAATCAAAAACAATACATGAAAACAAGAAACAGCTAATTCCTTTTCGAATCCTAAAAACATAGACAAATACAATTGGAAAAGAAAGCACCTGATGGTAAATTTGCTAAAATATAAACAATATACAATATACAAGCACTACTTTTAGTAGACAGAAATCAAGCATTCTGTGTCAGTAATGCCAGTCTGTGCCAACTGGCATTTGCTGACATCAACATAAGTCAATATTTGAAGTATTCTGACACAGAAGGGTACACTCGAACTACACTTGCACTAATTAAAAATTTATTCCACCCTCATATTGATCACTCCAGATCTTCAATTACTTTTTGTTTTTAAAATCTTTTTTAAACTTTTTTTTTCTTTTGGAAAATAAATAAATAAACTAATAATAATAATAATAATAATAATATAATAATAATAATAATAATAATAATAATAATAATAATAATAATAATAATAATTAATTAATTAATTAATTCACTCATTCATTCATTCAGTCATAAAAAAAAACTCCCCATTCCACAACATATTATGCACAATAAAGGAAAGTTGACAAAACATTAACTCCCATTAAATGAAATACTTATATTTATTTATACTATAAAACATCTGATAAAAACATGCATCCTCTCAAAATGCCAGAAAAATAAATAAAAAATAATAATAATAATAATAATAATAATAATAATAATAATAATAATTATTATTATTATTATTATTATTATTATTATTATTATTAAAATGGAGGGGGAAGTAAGCATAAAGTAACTAAATATATGGCAATTTGATGATTAGGCCCTTTTGTAAGTTTAGCCTTTACTTATATGTAAAATGCGTGATTGTTTTTGTACGCTAAACCTTAAAACTGTGAACAGTGTTACTTGAACGATGGAGTAGCCTATATTCACTCTGGGGTGAGCAGATCGGTCAGTGTACTTATGGGTATTTGCAAATCATCAGTGCAATGTTTATGGGTGTAAGTTCATTGCCCTAACCATTAATGGTTTGAAAAGCTAACATCAAAACTGGAGGACAGCAAGTTGCAGCACTAATCCATATCAAACATCAGGCTGTACCACAGACTGTGTAAAAAAGATTTATACAGTTTATGGTTTGTACGCAACTGAGAGGGATCTGGCAGCCTCCACCCAGAGGACCTACAGGCCTTTAAAAGTAAACAAACAAGTCAACATAACATTACAAACAGTGACATTGTTTTACACCTAAGACCAAATCCTTTTCCTAACCAATATCTGTTTTTTGTTTGTGACAACATTAAATTTTCCTATGCAAGTAGAGCAGAGGCAAAACAAACTTAATCTCAAATCAGGAAATTTAGAATGTATTGGAGATTAAATATACTGTACAATCTTTGAAGTGCAAAAATTCAAATGAGCACTATCAACTTTAATTTTACATTTAATAGCGAGCTAAGGCAATAACTGATAAAAAGTGTTATTAATTTGCCGATAAATAGGAGCCTAAATTAATGAAAAATTAGGGACATGTCAGTGGAGGTGTGTCCTCTGGGTGGAGGACCTGCAGCCAGGCTCTCTTGGTGGAACTACTGTGAAACAAAGGAGACCTCTTGTGGCCGAACTCAAAAATGCACCGACGCTTAAATGACTTTTCGTAATATTCGTGTAAAATACGAACAGTTGTCATGATACAACCTCGGTAATAATACATTTTGAATGGATTAGTGTCCGAGTATGTACACATGTTTTATAAGCTATTTGTTTTCATTAGCGGAACTACTGTTGCGCCGGAAACAGTTTCATGTTTCTCTTCGGGTTTATTTATCGTGAGCGGCTTGCCAAGAGGATAGCTGTTTTCAAGCGGTTTGTCCTTTTGTTTGACATCAGACTGTCTTCCAACATATACCGTGTAAGTAAATGCTGATATCAGTTTTTTAGTTGTACGTTTTTGTATTGTTGTATGTTACTTAAAACAATTGTATAATGAATCCTCCGAGGCGTACGACTCCCATCATCAGCACCATTATGTTGAGCTTGGGTCAAAAACGTTTTGTTGTTGTCAATTTAAGAATGGGAGTGTATCTTCCAACATTAAAAATTGTAAAATGTCGATTTACTCTGGAAAGAATATCTAAAGAAATGAATGATAATAATATGATGTTTTTTTTCCTAATGTAGTTTGATATGGAGCCTGCTTGTCGTAAAGATAAACCAAAGCTGAACACCACTCCCACACGAGGAGACAGAGCCAGACAGAAATCTGCTCAACAGGAGCTCAAACAGCGCCAGAGGGCTGAGGTAAATCTCATATGCTCTCACTGTTCATGGCATAACTACACGACTACTGATCATTTAACTATGTTTTTTTCCCTGTCAGATTTATGCCTTGAATAAAGTGATGACAGAGCTGGAGCAGCAGCAGTTTGAGGCATTTTGTAAACAAATGCAGTCCCAGGGAGAGTGAAAGTACATTTTACCTTAATGAAGACACAGAAAACACCACTTATGCCGGCTGTGGGGTGACCTAGCCTACTGAACTGAAAATGGTCCATGCCAGACCATTGTGATGTCACCTTAAATGAAAATTGCACTGGAGTTTTTTTATGTTTTAAGATTTTTCTTAAAAGATGATCTGTCCATCTATCTTTCCAAGTGTGAAAGTGATGCAGCAGGATTGATTTAAAAGACTTTACTTTCATACTGCTATTTAACAATAACAAAATATATGAGTCTAATATTTGGTGAAACCATTGCAGGTGAAAGCTGCTGCAGTTGAGACATGTAATAACAAGACTGTATTTGTCTTCTGACTGAAAGGTGATTTAAATAAAGTCACTTATATTATTATATATTACATAACAGTTGTTTTATTGTCATTTTTAAGGACATGAATTTTTACATTTGACACATTCAAGATTTTGAATGCAGTTATAAATCACATGATTTTATATGCATATGTTTTTACTTGAATTGAGCTACTCTGCAGCAGAATTCTTATAACAAGCGCACACGCCTACTCAGTTACATACCCACTATAAAGCAGAGTTGGTGTCCTGCTCATGGCACATATTACCTCTCACAACTCAATGCTAACAGAACTGGCAGTGACTCTAACCCCATACCAGCCATCCCAGTAGTTCTTGTCTTGGCCTCCATGTTCAAAGGAAATGAAGCGCAGACCAGGTCCATACTCAACAAAACTGTGGGTGATCTGTGGAGCAAACAGACTGTGAGGATCTGCACACTGAAGAGACTTTTAAATGTTGTTTACCTCTTTCCAAGAACAATTGTCACTTTCGGGGTCCAGGGTCACAGGCTCTGGTTTGAACTCCTGTATTACCTCTTGATTTTCATCCAATAGAGACACTGTTATTTGGTAGATGCACCCACAGTCAGTCCTTGCACAATACCTGTGCAGCACAAAAAAAAAAAAAAGTCTGAACTTAACAAGTAAGTATGTGTAAGATGTGTGTAAAATATACCAGTCTGTTATGTGGACAGGGGGCTGTTCATCCAGAGCCTCAGCAGAGTATCCCTCGTCCAGCAGGTTTATGACCTGTCTCTTCAGACATAGTCTAAAACACACATTACAGAACATTGTTGCTTATGACCACTGATGAAAAGAGGACATTTCAAAGTATGTGTAAAATGACAAGGCAGTCACACAACCAGAAATTAAATTAAATTAGTTGAGATGTTTTTTTTAATGATTAAGGTTCACACACATATGGGCCATATCAACTTGCCAAAAAAACAAACAAAAAAAAACTAGGCACATTAGCGCAACTAAGGAACTTCCTGTTCGTTTTTCCCCTGCATGAAAGAGATATGCTTTGTTTGCTATCTTTTTTTTGTGTGTTTGCTATGTTATACGAGGTGGCACAAATCACTCCTCATGGCTAAACTGTATAATATTAAACACTTACCTAAATGATGTCGCAAAGTATTTGCTTACTCCATCATTGCCAAAGTCATGGCCACAGTCTCCAGGCATGTCCTCGACCTTCCACTGGCTTCCACCATTTTCAGTCAGTTCCCAGAACTCCAGATCCTCTACAAAACAATGGCCATATTGATATTTAGTCTTCATTATTTATTTTGTATTATAATGAAAAATATATAAACAATGGATTTCATGAACCCCAAAATACAGTGAACTTGACATTCTGTCTGCAAGATTGTCAGATAATGATGTTATCTAATTTACAAGCAGAAGTTTATCTGTGCATTTATCATTTCTGCAGTAACTAACTACAAAATCATGTTTTGGCATCTTACCATCTCCATTTGGATTCTTTACCAGGTTTCTACCCATATTAGCCCTTTGCAGGTAAGATCTGGGCTGCACAAAAAAAGGACAGTCATTTACAGTACTATTATGAACAAGTTACTTATGAACAATTAATAAAAACAAATTAAATTAAGTCCATGTCATGCCCAGTAATCTCAAAGCCAGAAAACCTTCTGCATTTCCTTTGTGCTGACTCATGCCCTGTTTGAACAGGAAGATCAGCCAGACATGTCACCTCTCATTCATTTAGTGTTTAGAATAACCCAGTGATGGAAATAAACTATTAACAATTATAATAATATTTAATATTGCATCACAGTTTTGTTTTTTTGTTTTTTGTTTTTGTTTTGTTTTTTTAACTTTAAGGTAATTTAGCCTATTTTAGATGTAGCCCAGAAATATAGCGGTTTTGTTTTGTAAAAGTCAAACATAAGTTTTCGTTTTTAGCCATAAGTTTTGGATGAGAATTATTAGAATAACTTGTTCTCAAAATCCAAAAGTTTAATTACCCCGTAATCTTTGTTATTGATCCGTGTGCGTAATCTGCGTGATGTGTATTGTTAGCATTAGCGCTAACAGCGTGTCTCGGTTGCTGGGCAACCGGAGCGGCTCTGTGGGCTACACCTGTCAGACTTCGGCAACGCTCTTGCATCCGTGGAGGCTAGTTCGAAGCCTTTTTTTTTTTTTTTTTTTTTTTTTTTTTTTTTTTTTTTTTTAAAGGGCTACAGCCTTCGCAGCATCGGAGGACCCTGGCGATGACGAGTCGTGATGTCATCGTTTTCCAAAAGCTGCGGTTTGCTTGTCCACACGACAACGCGTTTTCAGATTTCTCCACTCTGGAACCCGTTCTCAAAAAACTCCGTTTTCACTCACCCAAAACACTGGCTCCGTGTGGACGATAGGCCAAAACGAATACAAACTTCCGTTTCGACCAAAAAATGTTGTCGTGTGGACAAGCCCTTGGTAAACTTGATCTTAAGTAGTCATGTCACTAGCAGAGAGAGATAGTATAACCAAAGGTATTACTCACTTCTAGGAGAGGGACTGCAGTTCACACCAAAGCTCAAGCTCTACTGCAGAGACACTAAAATGGGTGAGACAGCACAAGGGGGGTGGGGTTACTGTTGATGCACAACATACTCAGCAAAATCACTTGCACAAACTCAGCACAGGGATCAGTTTCATCAATAGAAATGTGTGTTCGAGCCATCCATGTGTAAGCAGCAACTTGGCAAGCAATAAATGCACCAAGAGATTTCATGGTTACATTATCACTATTGTTGTTATGTATTGTTTTATTGTCTGCACTGAGCAAAACAGTTTACAAATTAATGTGTTGAGACTTTGAGGTTGCATGTTCTTTTAATGTGTAATGGCAAGTGACTCAGCTTTCAACATAGTCTGTTGAAAATAGAATTATTGTTTATTATTATTGTTGTAATATTAATATGCACAGTGGTGGAAGTACTTAACTATTTTACATAAGTACAGATACAGGAGCAAGTAAAAGTATCACATATATAAGTATCACACACACACATATATATATATATATATATACATATAACCAAAAGTGTCTTGAAAAATAGATTTTATTTATTTTATTTATCAAGATATTTTAGTCAATCAATTTCTTAATATCTGTAGACTTTTTATATGCATATTTTTGTTTGTTCAAAACCAGGACTTGAACGCAAAACCTTTAGTTATGATGAAAAATAACCTTTTAAATCATATGGAAATAATTTTTTACTTGGAGTGGACACATACACATACACATACCTGCTGCATGCTAGCGTCTTGAAGATAACCGGAAGAGGCTATCAAATTAGTTTTTTGTCTTTTAAGTAGTCAAATCACAATGAGGATAGGTGTGACTCACCGCTCTTGTAATCCATGTATTGGGTTCTCGCAGAGATCCCTAGACTTCATATTCCCACTGGTTCCAATAGGGGCCGCCAGGGATGAAGATGAATGCATTCCCCCAATTTAGATAGGCAGATGTATATAAAACCATAAGCATACCACAGTTTAACTCTGTTCCACTGCTCCATGATCATGATGAAAACTACATTATCCTCTTCAGGACATCTCAGGTAGCCTACCTACCCGTACTGCTATATGGGCCATTGGCACATATAGTGAGAGAGCTGTCCTGACTATGCACTGCAACTGAGTAACCCTCTAGTTCACTTGGTGGAGTCCAGCAAAGGAAGACTGCAGTGGAGAACAGGCCCACACGATTTCCCCACTGTAGCCAAGAGTCTAGCCCTGCTCATGGAGTCAGGTTTCAGAACACAGTCTGTGCATGGAGGTGAGCCAGACTATATTTAGGTGGTACCTCTCATCACACAAGCTTGGTCTCTTCCCTCCTTTAACGAAGTATCCACACTGACATTTGCATAAATACAAGCTCCAACTCTTGGCCTGCATCCAGAGTGTGGTCCTGGCTGTTTCCGTGGAGGATTAATAAACTGCTCTTCATCAGTGCATCGTGCAGTCAGTGGGGATGTACCATCAAACTTAAATTTAAAGATGACAATATATAAGTGGTTATACAAAATAGTTTTAATCTCAGTCACAACACAAATGAATCATAACACACTGAATACAATACTTTACAATGCACAAAATACAAACCTCCCAATATGGGAGAGGATTCAAGTTAGACATTGCATTTTCTTTCAGGATTTTCCTGCAAGCAGCACAGTACAACATTCACAACATCCACACAAGACTCTGTGCCATAAATAAGGAGTGCTGTCAAATGACTAAAGCATTATTTTCATAACACTGAGGCCGAAACAACTGCTTACAATACACATGTCCAAATCAGTGCCTTAAGTTGGAAAGGTAGAAATATCTTCTTGATTTTGCACCATCACTGACAACCCTGACAGTTGAGTGCAGCATCAGCTTGAGTATAGTCTTGGGATCAACCAGCCATGTTGTCACTCTTTAATCTTGTCAATCATGTGTGAACAATTCCAGTTGTGAAGAACAGCTGCAGTGAGGTTCTGTTCTGTCTAAGCTTCAGATGATGCCTGTGGTTTGAGATGGGCTTTCTCCATTGTTGTACCATAGGGATCAGACCTCTTAAAGAAACCCATCTGCAACAAAACATAATAGGCAAGCAGAAGAAGTGAGAAGCAAAATAAAGCTAATATATTTAAGTGTACTATATTTTCTGATAATTATATTTCTTACACTTCCCTTCATGTTTCAAATAACACTGTTAACACTATACCAGCAACGGCATACTGAAGGTCCCATATTACGTAAAATTGGCTCTTGTGAGCTTTAATCCGTGTAATGATGTTATCTCATCAAAAACATATCCGAAGTTATGTGTTGTTTCATTCACACATATTTCCGTAATCCAGCATTATTAATCTGTCCACATCTCCAGTGCTCAAAATGCATCCCACCTTGTGATGCCATGATGTAGTTGTTGTCAAGTTAATGGCTACATTTTAGTTTAAGTTCGGTAAAGGTGGACAATTCCCGTGCTGAAATCATCCAAATGACTCTAGCAAAGGTGTATGGAGTTCAAAAGTACAGGGGGACACTTCCTGTATTACCTCATGACATCACAAGCTGGAACAGAGTTTTCTGTTACTCAGCCTAAATATTCAGAGTTTGTGTGTTAAACATGGGTGAATGAAACAAAACACAAGTCCAGGTATGTTTTTGATGAGGAAACATTATAACATAGGTCAGAAAATGGCATAATATGGGATCTTTAAATGAAACTGTACTAATGCTATCTGAAGCCACTGTTTTTTTTTGACTGTACTATACAGATTTTGGTTCAGAAATATACACCATACTTTACGGCAAACTTTACATCATGAACATCATGCTTTTATGTTACCTTGTAAAGCAGATATATTAGTAGACTCAGTAGCAGCAGCCCTGCCAAAACTGCCAAAATGATGATCCACACAGGGACAAAGTAAAGACTGTCAGGTTTGTTCCACAACACGACAGCAACCACCTAAAGAGAAACAGCACATTATCAGGGGCAGTTTATTGAAAAAAAAAAAAAAAAAAAACATGGCTCAAATGAATGATATTCAAACAATTCAGACAATTTTCAGACAGATTTTGCTAGCACATAAATGATTGGACACTAACCTGCTTTGAAGGAAAAAATACATGATACGACTCTGACGGAAACTTGTATTGTGAAGAAAATATTTCTCTCAATCTGTCTTTGTGTAAATTAATATGATTTCTACCTGAGACAATTCCAATATTACTATCATTATTATTATTATTATTACTATCCCATATATGATTACTTAATTGACCTTTTTCAATCTTTTTGGCTCCAAAATCTCATGTGTGTACCACAATGCTGCTGTAACAACATGCTGCAAATACAGTGCCAACAAAAAACATCCCTCAGTGTTAATTTTTCCTCACCTTTGGGACATACTAGGTCACTCATTCTTTGAGCTACTGAAACTAAGCTATATGCAAGTGCTAAAACAAAAATGGGGAGCAAAACTCCAAGGGAGTATGCACCACTAGAAGGTCCCTTTATTGATTTTTGAGAAGAAAATGTAGAGATAAGAAGTCTTCAGGATTTGGTGCATTCACTTTAAAGAATGTTCTTGCATTGAAAAATAAGTGCAAATGCAACTGAAATGTGTGACTTGAAACAGTCCCACTCACAAAACTCTTTGTCTCAACAGTTGCTGCCTGATCCTTCACCAAATAACTCTACAACATGGGACAATAACAGAGTAATCCAAATCCAACCAAAAGCAAACAACTTCTCACAGCTCAAAGCTCCACCACCCCCACAACATCAGGTCAGACCTCTGCTAAAGTGCTTTTCGCCTTTTGTCAAGATTTCTAGTGTGTTTTTTTTATTGTTATATTATAAATAAATAAATAGATAGATAGATAGATAGATAGATAGATAGATAAACAGATAAATAAATAAAGTGAAGAGAGTGTCGATCATGAAAATGAAACCTATGGCATAAAATAGCTGCTCAACTTCAGAACACTGAACTGTGATGCAATCATGTGGACTGGAAATATGACTCCAATGCTTTATATAGAGAAGCTGTGAACAACATCTGCACAGCTATCACAAAAGCCTTCCCTGCCTCCATCAATACAGACAAAATCCAATCCTGCAAACAAAGAGACACTGAGGACCTTGAAGAGTTTCTCATATGTTTAACAGAAGTGTATAAACCCCACACTGGATTTATAAGACCCGATCACTTAGGCGTTACTCGTGATGTTTGGGAAATATACTTGTGTAACTACTTCATTAATGTTGGGAAATATACTTGTGTAACTACTTCATTAATGGACTGAAAACAGACATTTCTTCAGTTGTGAAGAAAACTTGCATTGGCTAGAACGCTGCTTGCCTAACTGAGCTGAAAAGACGTGACACACTTGCATATGAACAGAGACTCAACAACATGAAAATGAAAATCACCAACTGTTGTCAACTTGGACATTGGAAATGGTAGTGCCCTCTACGCCATGAGCCCTCTGCATTTACATCTTCTGAGACACATCACACTGATAAAGGCTGGAAGAATTCAGATAGGAATGAATTGCAACCAAAGAGAAAAAGTCAACATCAGAAGAGTAAGGCAGTTCAAAACCACAATGGAATTACAATGCAATCACACCCTTTTCTTAACCTGTGAGGCCCTACCACCTGCAGTGCTGACAGTGACTCAGGCTACGTTCAGACAGCAGACGCTCAATTCCAATTTTTTTGTAAAATACGATGTTTTTGCGAGGTTGTTCACATTTCCAATTAAATGCGACTTGTATGTGAACTCCAGTGTGAACAGTAAACAGCCCGAAAGTGTCCCGCATACGCACTGGAGGACAACCGCAGCGAGCATGCTCTGTGTTTACGGAAGTTGTCCAAACATGGAAGCGAGCATTGAGCACCTGACGATTTTAAAGTTCCTCTCGTACCGGAGCCCGAACATGAACAACTTACTTGTTTTAAGGAGGAGACTGAGAAGGACGAGGTTTTTGGCCGTGGCGTTTTGTGGGACAGCGGCAGCGATGTCCATTGAAAGTAACGTGTGGACGAAATCAAGAAAAAAATACAATTCCCACCCATCAGAAACTCAGCAGGGAAGCTCACTTACTCACCACAGGAAATAAATGAAATATTCAGAAATTTTTATGAAAAATTATATTCATCTGAACAGGACCCAAAACAAGAAGACATAAACCTCTCCTTGTGGCCCTAACTATCGCCAAGAAAACTATCCTCATGAACTGGAAATCAAGACACAACATACATCTGACACACTGGAAAAACCTACTCATTGACCATATCTCTCTGGAATACACATCTACTACCCCTGTCAGCACAACAGCACCCCAGTCACCCTGGTCCACCTTCCTCGATTTTCTACAAATGTAATTTCATATTTGATTATTCTTCTCCTCGTTCCTTAACACTTTTTTTTGTCTGGTTGCCTATCACCTTTTGCTTGACATTAAAATAGATGAAGTCCTGAGAGTACATACACATGCACACATGCACACACACATAACACACCCATACACACTCATACACACCTGTACAAACACACGCAATGCCATACACACCGCTTTATTTTATAAAGAAACAGGGATGGGATAGACAGGCTATATAAAACAGAACTTTAACAGACTTAGGAACACAGCACAAAGTTGTCTGCCTCAGGTCCCTAGCGGGCTGGGCCCTCTCTGCTGTCGCCTGGGTGTTGGGTGTGGGGGTCCACCTACGGGTGCCCGGTTGCGTGCTCTCCCGTCCCCTCAGGGTCTCCCCTCTGTGCTGGCTTCACTCTCTGGTCTACCCCCAAGCTCCTTACCTCCCTGATACTTTTAATGCATCACACCCAACTTTTTTTTTTTAATGCATCACAAGTCAACCAGGGATGAATGTGGGTTCATGTGTGTGAATTGTGTGAGTATGTGTGCAGGCTTGTGTGTATGTGGATGTGCGTGCACATTCCTGTGCAGGCACATGTACATATATATCAGGGAGGGGGAGCATTCAGACCGGGAGGTGGTTCATTGGGGGGTGGGCCGGCCTGGTCGATGGGCGACCACATGCGGAGCCCTGGGGGTGGCCCCCGCACCCGCCTTGGGGGGCGTGAGTGTGGCTTGGCCTGCTCCCACTTCAGTGGGGATCTGAGGCAAAATGCCAACACACACTTAACAAATTTTCAATACTCAAATTAAATAGCAATAATACAGGTCAACATTAAATCATCCGCATAGCCTGTCTATCCCCCCCCGGCACACACACATACACACGCGTATGCACACACATACACACACACACATACACGCATGCATATACACACACACACACACACGCACATAAGGTTCACACTGTCTCCAACCCCTGTCATATTTGTTCCTATTTGTATGTAATGTTCAGTCGTAATGTCTGTCTTGTATCTTGTATGTTGTTTGGTTCCTATTTGTTGTAATCTATGTAGTTTGCAAATAAAAATTATTATTAAAAAAAAAAAAAAAAAGAAGAAGAAAGGAACGTGTGGATACGCAGACGTAGCCAAGAGTGGTGAGTGGTGATGTGCTTCGCTTAAGTGACACGGAGTTCATTAACAATTTTTGCCTACTTCAGCGCAGAATAGTGACGTTTGTGGCTTGTTGATAACGTGTAGGTGGATGAATGCGCTTTGGTCTTTCACACTGAAGTCACATGTCAAAAGATCGGATATGTATCAGTTTCAGGAGCACATATCCAAGTGGTCTGGGTCGCATTTGAAAAAATCGGATCTGTGTCGTTCAGACTGTCATTAAAAGATCGGATACAGGTCACATAGAAGCCAAAAAATCTGATTTGGGTGACTTCAGGCTGCAGACTGAACGCAGCCTCAGTCACAAGCCCCACCAACGATCCAGCTCCAACTCCATATGACAGTGGTGACTGTTATTCAGCCTTTGACCAAACTATAATCCACAGACTAAAAATGTTCAGTCTGAAGTGACCTAAAGCCTACTGATGATTTACTTATCCTTGTATTTTAACATGATGACTAGTCAAAATGAACATGCATTCAATTACTACGCTTTGCTACACTCAAATATTACATTGGAACTACTTTTTGGGCTTCGCAAATGTATTAATTATTTATCATCAAGAGATATATTTTTTTCCCCACAGCACAACCCAGTGAGAACAGTAGAACATAAACATTACCTTTTTTGATGCTGATGATGTGAATAATGGTGGAATAGAGTAAGGCATCTTTTCCACCTTATAATGCACAGAGCACTCCACAATGTACTGTTTGTAGATTCTCTATGAAAAACAACAATATTTGTATTACACTGGGGCTCGTGAATGAGTTTGTTGTGTTTTGATACATTTGCATGTGTCTCAGGTTTAGAAAGGGAAATGAACAACACATGATCTGCCTCTGTTGCCTAATTTAAAGGTGCACTATGTAACTTTTCTGGTGCAGGGTCTGTCACCTGCTTGACTTATTGGCGATATTGTTGCTTTGCCTGTGATGTTCACCAGTATGACATTACACTCCCTATACTCAAGTTACGTTTTTAGCTATAAAAATACCTGTAATAAATGTAAAGCTTAATGCCATACTCTGAAACATTCCAGTTAAAAGCAATAACATCTGAGGTAGCGTCTCCACATCATAAAAGGATAGAGGTTTACCTTTAAATCATAAATGTTTATAGAGATTGTCTCAGCGAACTAACACGCAAATAAAAACTCTCCTGTTTGTAAAAGAACATACAGTTTAGTCCAAATCAGTAATCTGAAATGATCCAAATATGCATTTTACTCAGAGGCCAACAGAGGGCAACATAAGCACACATTTTTGTTAATAGTTGAACCCGCTTTATATAAACAATAGTTATACATAAGGTTCTCAAAAATCAATACCCAGATACAAAAATCAAACTAGCATCAAATTAGCATTGAATTAAAACATTACATTAAAAGGGAGAACATGTGTCATTCTTAGAGTATTAAAATGATTCTGATCTTTATGAAAACTAGTATAAAGCCACATGGTAATTTTAAAGAAACCACTATTATATTAGTTTGAAATTACATTGTATTGTATAAAAATTACTTAATATTAAAATAAAGTTGGAAATATAAGTATCATGAGTATTAAAACTTTGATGCCCAAGTATGTAGAATGTTTTCTTCACAACCAGCCATTGGTTTATAAAAATAAAAAAAATAAGCTTAATTAGGCCTACAGCTTTTGAGTATATAAATATACAAAATATACATTTTTTAGCCCCATAGATCTCACCTCAACAAAGGTTTCCGCCCACAGTCTGGAGCGGATAGTGAGGATGGCGCTGTCCCCTCGCCCCAACTGCCCTACAGCACACTGCAGCCTCCAGCACTCCACTGTGCTACAAGTCTGTGGAGTCACACACAACTGGTTTACAACTGCTTTGACGTCATAACACAAGAATTCATTTAAAGATCTATGCTAGGGGATGACATAACAGTGTTTAGATACATCCATAAATCCTAGTGGGAAGTTCCAGTCTACATCCAAGGCATCCACAACATTACAACATCAGTGACGCCAGTCCTAGGAGTCATCGGCAAAATCACAGTCATAATTAACTTCACATCACAAACAATTACCGCAACAGGAAAAGATCTCATCCAGATCTTATTACATGTGCTCCCACTTCCTGTGTTGACAGCACAATTTGCGTCGAACTCACAGGCATACGCTGCACATAGGGATTACAGTAAGCGTGAATGCCTCCTTAAAAGTACCACAGGAGAGCAATAATTTACATTTAATGACACTTGAGATATAGAGTTTACTAATGAAAAGTAAATGGGGTTTTCAAGTGACTGTGTTGTAGTGAGTTTTGAGTGAACACAGTGTAGTAAAAGAACATGCACAACCACAACTAGAAGTCACACATGCTAGTCCAAAAGAAATAACAAAACTGTAAAATTGAAATATAAATATAATTAAATAAAATCAAATGAATTGATCCCTTTTAGATGCTAAGTGAAGAAATTATAACATTGTGCAAGATCAGATTAGTTCCTGTAGGATAATTGTAATAAGTAAGTAATAAGTAATTGTAAAAGCAATTAAAGTAATGTGTAAGGAGACAGTGACAGGTTGTAAAGTATAAAAGCATACATTGTTTTTATCATATCATTGCCTGGAATGGCGCCCAGACATTGAGGTTGTATGCTGTGTTGTCTCACCAGGTTTCCATGTTCAGCCAGAGGGTGGGCATCTCTTCTCTGGACCCGGTGCTCTATGCTGGGTTTGAGTTGTGTTGTCACCTGTGGGCCTAGAGGCTGCAGCTGTGGAAAAGAAACAAAACAAATCTTTAGCATGTTTTAAAATGTAAAATTTGGATATTAGCATTACAAAAAATTTACATATTTCAGTTTAAATTAAATTATTTGAAGGTGTATTTTTGGTCATTGTTTCTCTTATAAATACAAAACTTAACTATTCTAAATTCTCATAGCTGTCATTTTGAAAATTACATCCTGTACAAAAAAATGCATAAAACATATCTAGAAAAAACAGTCTGAAAACACATTTTAAATGGCCTATATTATGATATTTTCTGATCACATCAAAAACATACTTGGAGTTGTGCTTTGTTCCATTCACATAATTTGATCACATTTAACACACAAACCCTGCACATGTTGGCATGTCTCAAACAGAAAACACTGTTCCACCTTTTGATGTCATGTTATTATTATTATTAATATTTATTTATTTAAAACAAGGGCAGTGCACAGAAAACATTAATCTCAAAGAGAAAAGATGCTCTGCACCAGATTTAGCTACAAGCTACTTTTTGCTGCAGTAATTTGGCAGGTAAAACACACATTAAAGAAACTATTTACTTTAAACCATCTCAAACAACTATTAATACAGGTACAGATTAGTACAGTAATACAGGAAGTGCTCCACTGTTTTTTGTTTTTTTTTTACACTTTTGAGGAGGCAGTAACATTCTAATATGCTCACAAGAGTCAGTTTGCATAATATAGGACCTTTAAAATGGCCTTGAATACCTAACTTAAGAGAGCAGTCACCTTAAGTTTCAGTGCATTGAAGGTGTGCTGTGAAGAGCAGGTCAGTGGTCCTTCTGTGACCAGTTCCACAGGGTACAGCAGCCCATGGCTCTGTGCCCTCAGGGGACATCTCACCTCCAGAGATGACTGGCTGATCACACTGGGGCCATTGTTCACCAACTAGAAGGGCACAGTATTTATTTACTAAAAGTTTATCATTATCATCATGTTGCACTCTATAAGGCACATATAATGTATCTTTGGGTGCCTTTTCTCTGGTCTGTCAGTTCTGGTAGTAGAGAATAAATAGAAAATGTAAAGAGCGTGGATACTGACAGCATGACCAGTATTAGATGATTAAAAACAGAATAGCTTAAAGTGTATATGACAGGTTAGACACATTTCACTAAAACATTGTTAAAATTTAATTATATTAAATTATATTTAGGATTTTATTAAAAATCTTAACTTGACAGTGAAGTTTAGAATTTTACTTCCTGGTTGGATACAGGAGGCAGATGCGATATACATAACTGTTACCTTGCAATCATAATGTTAACAAGGACCGATATTCTAACACATATAAAAGTTGGGATTAGACAAATAAAAATAAATGATAACACATGTATTTTGTTAAGTGAAGATTTATACTGCAAGAATAATAGTTCCTGCATTTTGGAAGACATTTTTGCAGACATAGTTAGAGGTATTCAGTTTTAGAACACACTGCTACTTTTTGTATTTTTGTCCTTCTCATGAAAACCTGTCAAATGCCCTTAAAACACACTTCAAAAACGTGCTGAAGCTCTGGTCCCACATCCTGCTCCTCACGCAGACCCTGACTCATCCTCCAGCTGGGCGGGGGAAACAGGATTTTATCTGGACGAGAAACACTGCCCCACACCCAAACACAAACACACATTAGCTGTTACATTACATTATATTTTAAAAAGGATTATCTCATTATTACTGTGGCCTCACCCCTGCAAGAGGACATCAGCCAGGGCAGCTACCTCCAGCTCATACACCACCACTTCACTCTCAGAATTGTTTACGTTTTTGCTAGACAGCAAAACAAAACAAAACAAAGACACATGTAAGCACATAAAATATTGCAGAGGAGTATGTGAGTAACTTAACACCACTTGGCATAATTAGTAACTTACCTTCGTATTTGTAACTCAAACTGCACGACTTTATATGTGTCCTTTAATCTGGGTATAGTGAAACGAAGGCCAGCCCATATCTAGATGGCCCAAAGAAGAAGAAAAAAACATTAAAAGACTGTGAATTAAGCAGATGAATACATAACTTAAAAAGGTAATTGCATGCTGATTAAGGTACTGTTGGTAAAAAAAGGTCATGTTTTATTTGAGAAAATATTTCATTCAATTCTGTTAAATCACATGGGTGCTCTTTCTGCACCACTCATTTTATCTACAGTGGCTTTTAAAAGATAAATCACAAAATATTATTGATACATGATAATGAGTCTTTTTATCCTCTAATAGTAATTTACATTATTATAATTCTGATCAGATATAATTTTTTGCCAAATCTGAGCAGTTGTAATTTGATGTGACAGCCTTACAGCACAAACAGCGTGTAAACAACAGCTGGTAGTGTAATCTCTTACATTGCTCCCTGACTTCATGGGGTTTCCCAGATCACATATGAGATAACGCGTGTCATTCTGGGCCTCGTAGCTGCACGTCAGCTGTGTCAGTGTCTGAAAAACACAAAACTTGGGATGTTTACAACCACTGCCCGTGACCTTTGTGGTGTTCAAGGCCCTCTGGAATTTCTTAGACCTGTATTATCATGTACACCTGTGCTCCAAGGTCCAAGATAAAGGGGAAAGCAATTTGGAACAACATATAACAACCCTACAGGTAAATATGTTTTCTTTTTTAGAAGCAGAGGATGCAAATATACAGATAAGACTAATAATTTCACTAAGATTACTAAAAAAAACATGATTTTGTTGATAACTTTTTGTTTATAACTTGACTTCCTGGTTGGACACAGGCAGCAGCTCTGATATATGTAGAGGTAAATCCAACCATATAACAACAGTATTTTAAGGATCCAAACTAGATTATATTGCAAAATAGTTGAAGATATAAACTGCTACATAAATGGCTTCTTTGCGCATAAATTGTCCCTGCATTTTCAGTGGAATTTTCTGTGTAGATGACATAAATAGAGGTATTCAGTTTTAGAACTTCCTATATTTTTGTACTTTTCTTCTCAGCTTCTGTCCACACACTGCCATTTAACTGATGTAAAACTATGATAAATATTTACCACAAGTACTATCCCACCAAACCAAGCAAGAATTACAAAGAAAAACATGAAACTCTTCCATATTAATGTCAAGTAAAATTCATAAGTTGCCAGTAAATGCTGAAACTAATTCAATATTTCCTTACATCATTGTTCCGTGCAATCCCACTGTAATCTGCATCCGGAGGTAGAAACACATATAGCTCTGCTTCATAGGCTCCTCCCTCTCCTTCATTCACCGCATTAAAGATCAGGGTCAAAGTGTTTTCATCCCCAAGGTATGCAACAGTCTTGTCACTGGCAAAAACAAATAAACAAACAAACAAACAAACAAACATGAAATAATGAGATAAAATTATAATCTCATATAATTTTCTAATTGTGCACTCTCTGGATTGATCTGTATCTACTGTATATCATATATGCCACAGGACAGGTTAATTGAAACTTGAATAAAAAGCCACTGCAATTGTGTTTAATATTCTAGGTACAGGCCACTTTTTCATGAACAGCATTAACATAGAAATTTGAAGATATACATTTTTTTGTGTACGATTTTCTTCAACAGGCACAACAGAGCTGCATTGAACTGGCCTTTGCCTCTTATTTTCAATTAAAGTTTTTTAAATGCAGTGGAAACTTATTAACCATTAACTAAGTCATTTACATTTGTGACCAAGATTGGTTTAAGTAGTAGTAAAAAAAAAAGAATAGGGCCCTACTAAGCTATGTGCACACAAGAAACTTCAAGATCTTGCTGAACTTTTATCATTGCACCATTGAAAGCCTTCTGATTGGCTCTATCACTGTGTGGTTCGGCAACGTTACAGCCAGAGACAGGAAAGCTTTAGGGTGGTCCGCATAGCCAAAAAAAAAAAAAAAAAGAACTTTGACCTGCTTGTCCTCGAGACTCTTTACAAATGTAAACTTTTAAGCCTGGAAAAATATATCGTTCCATTAAGACTTCTCGTGATGGTAACGGCTTCATCCCACAAAATATAGTTATAAGCTTGACCAATGCACTTTGAACTTTGATGTAGTACCTTAATATTTAGCATCTTGTTTATTTCATAGTGTCATGATGTCTGTAATGAGTGTCTATTGTTTCTTTATGTGGTTGTTTTTAATGTCTCATGGCGCACTTTGAGTGTTTTGCACATGTTTTTCCAATGTGTTTTTTTTTACTATAAATGGCAATAAACTAACCTTGACAGTAGACATGGTGTCAACAGCATAGAAAATACATTACCAACAGTAGAAGCCACTTTGAAACAGCCTATGACCAAAATGCCCAAAAAGCACTTCTAAAGCCAAATGAGAAGCAGGTATGTTGAGATCCCTTCAGACAATGCAGGTCTGTTTTTGTCAATCCCAGTGGACCATTTTCTGCCACATATCTGTCCACTACCCCAGCCAATGAACCCAATCTGATCTCCATGATTTGTCTCAGGAAACCCACCGCCCCCCTTTCCATGTGTATGCAGAACTTCCCCAAGAGAGTGTGCACCAAGTTGTGATAAATCCAACTTGCCGACTCCAACCCCCAACTCAGCCACTTTTACTTCAAATCATGGCAGTAAATTCATGTTTCTATTGAGCAGAAGAAAAGGGGAGGGGGGGCATTGGATATTTTGCTTCCAGGGTACCCTTCCCCCTTTTCGTTGGAGGTCTGGACGCAATGACCCCATGCTAGGTAAGACATCCAGCAGATGAATTTAATTAGGCCAGTTTAGTGAATGTAGAGAAAGTCAAGCAGGTACCAAAGCCTCAACACAGTATAATCCAAAAGGGACAAATTTTTGTTGTGTGACGTTTTTAGAGAAACAATTAATGACCTTAAAACTAAGGTTGGAGATAGAGCTGAAACTAGCTAAATAAAAAACTGTAACTGCTTGAATACTGAAATAATCCTTAAAAGTGCATTGTGTAACTTTTATGGTGGAGGGTCCATCAAATGCTTTTCTTCTTGGAGATATTGTTGTTTTGTCTCGAATGTTTCACAGTATGGCACTAAACCGTTCCATCTTCATGGAGACCAAACCAGAACAAGTTACAGTTCAGATCTGTAGAGACCTAGCTCACAGCTAGCGTGCCTCTTTGTCTAGGTATTATTGAGCTATAAAACCACCTGTAATTGAATAAATGCAGGGTAGAGATGTTTAATGTCATATGAGATGGAGAACACTCCAGGCATAGCAATAACATATCCATAAAAACAAGCAGGTGGTGGACCCCCAAACAAAAAGTTACATAATGAAAGTAACTGTCATCTGAACTCCAAAACACACCATAAGCTGAGAGATGAGGTCTCAGACAAAGTAAAGATTTTAAAAACTTATCTATTTAATCTGGAAATATATTGTAACAGGATGTTCTCACTAGCTTTTTCAAGGTAAAATTTAGAAAATCTAAATCTAATTCAACCTAAACAACTAATCGATTAATAAAAAGCATAACTGATTTGATGAACTCATTACCTAAATAATTGTGGAAAAAGGTATTGCTCCATTAAATGTAAGACTTCTCGCCCTGGTAACAGCTTCTTCCCACAAGCTGTTATATAAGCTTCAACAATGCACTTTGAACTTTGAAGTAGCACATTAATATTTTAGCTCCTTAATCTTTGTATCTTGTTTATTTCACAGGGTCATCTGTCATCTGTAATTATCTATTCTTTATGTGGTTGTTTTAATGTTTCACTTTGAGCATTTTGCACATGTTTTTCCAATGTGTTTTTAACTATAACTAACGGAACCTAGATGAAGAAAAGAATTTGAAATAAGCAAGTGTTTTCAATGGAAAATGGAAAATATTTTTGAGAGAAAAAGAGTTAGAATTTTGATAAGTGAAAGTGCTGAATCATTTGGTCTGGTCTTGTGGCTAGTCGTATGCAAATGTTTGGAGGAAAACATTTCTGAACTGATTGTGTTCCTGCAGCTAAGAGAAATCACATGGCCATGCAATGCAAAACATTTCTCATGAGAAATACTGGCGTGAGTATCAGGATCTGTGTACTGGCTTTGTCCATAGAAACTAGCATGCAACAATGAGTCTAGTACCAAGGGGCCAGTAAACGCAAATCCAAGTTATTTTGTTCTTTCACTGGATAGCTACACCTCAGGTATGGTCTTAATACTATGCGCTGATCCCATAGATTTATATATAAATGGACATACCCGCTAGGATACTGTTTCCAATTGGCTTTACACTGAAAAATCACTCCTCTCTCTGTAACTGCTGCTGTGAGCCTCATCATTTTGGTCTTAAAATGTTAGTATTAACTTGCTCTACATTATCCTGGTGTTTTTATTTCACTATTTTGTCTGTAAATAAATTTCTACTGCTAATATGGAGCTTGGAATCAAATTTGCTCTTATAATTGCTAGTATCCTGAGATTCATTTGACTGGAGCTGAGCGCTATGGGTGACGTCACATTCCCTTAGTCCACTTCTTTCTACAGTCTATGGTTGATCCAAAGTTCTTCATGCAAAATTGTGCTTTCTAAATGAAGGCTTTGTTGATTGCTGACAAATAAATCCACAAAAACTCTGTTGTTGCAGGACAGAACACATGTCTATCTTGGTTTTACTATTAATATTGTTGCGAAAGCACAGTCCAAATTTGTGACTTTTGTTAATTAAATCAGTGGTCCTCAATCTTTTCTCTCCTAAGGGCAAGTATTGTCACAAGAGTTGATTTCAGAGACCGGATGAAAGGGCAGATCCAGTAAGAGCAGTGCAAATTGTATACGACTCCTATTTTAATTATTACTCATGTTTGCTGTTTATAAGATTATAAATCAAAAATACAATGCATTTTAAGATATAGTATGTAACATTTTCCTCTAGGGCACATTGGAAGATGGGAAACTTTTTTAAATTCCTGATTATGATAAATTCAACCAATTAGGAAGGCTATTGCTATACTGTCAGCTAATCACAGCCAAGCCTTAGCTCTCAGACAATGACATCTAATACCTTTCATATAAATACACTCTGTCCCCTTCACAACTGAACAATAATCTGCCTCAACCTCGCCATCTTCTACCACGCAAAAGCCTTCTCAGTAGAATGTTAGAATGAAAGAAAAAAAGATTAGATTTTTCTGAGTTTACATTTGTGCTATTTGAGCTGTTTGAAGTGGTGAAATAAATCATGTCCTGCTATGAACAAAAGAAAGTAGGATGCCAAACCTTCAAAGCGAGATCTCGTACTTTCTTTGAGAACTGATGATTTCTCTTTGTTTGTCATTGTTTCGTCCACAAGATCATTATGTTGTTATGTTTTCATTTGGCACCTGACACCAATCACTATTAGAAAGAACCTAAAAACTGAAAAGAGCTACAGAAAAGTCAGTAATGTGACCTGCGCCATAACTCACAGCACAGGTTATTACCACTAAAGGTTGAAGTGAACTCCTAAGACACCCATTGAGAGTCAAGGCCCCGATGACCTTTGACCTGTTGTTGTTATGACGCCTGGAGACATATTTCTCATTTTGATCCATGTCTAAGCACACATAAGGATTCACAACTTAGGAATGTGTTTGGTAAATGTATTACGGGGGGTAAGATGCAAACTGAAAGCACTACTAGAAGATCTGTTACTCAAGGTAGACTTCAATCTGAGCTTTATTTGAACACAATCTGACCAGAAAGGACAGACTTACTCTTAACTACAACAGGAGAGTTGATATGTGCAGTTAAACAAGTTTATCACACATAAAATTACAGTCACAAGCTAATAGATATACATGTAGAACACCCCTAGAGTGATGTCACTGCAAAGTATCAATTGGACAATATTTGTGTTTTTCGGTAACCATTTTAATGTTACTAAGAAAGAAAGTTAGAAGAAACACGATCCACAATTATTGATAAGGTGACCATATAAAATTGATAAAGTGGCTAGCATTCATGCTTCACAGCAAGAAGGTTCCGAGTTTGATACTCAGGTCGTTGAGTCTGCATGTTCTCCCCATGCCTAGGTTGGTTTCCTCTGGGCACCCCTTCAACCCAAAACATGCACCTTAGGTAAAATCCTCCAGCTAAGACAGGCCTGATCAGGACTAGCAACAAAATCAGGGAGATGGGTCCCTGGGCACCCCATGTGCTGCCCACAGCTCCTAAAAGGATGGGTGAAATGCAGAGGACAATTTCCCTACAGGAATAATAAAGTACTACAAAACAAAACCAAATAATAGTTGATGATAGAGAATATGAATGGCTGTGCTGTGCCAGCCCCGCACTGCATTCACTGGTATCTTAGCCTACATCATCAGAGGTATAATACTCCCT